CCCCCAATAAGCAAAACCTGAAAAGAAACCTGTAAGAAGCAGAACCTGAGAAAATACCCTTATAATAAGCAGAACCTGAAAAGAGAGCCCCCCAATGAGCAAAAGCTGAAAAGAGACCCGTCATAAGCAGAACTACCTCCCTACCTACCCTACCTCCCTGCCTACCTGCCTACTTACCTACCTACCGACCTGCCTGCCTGCCTACCTACCTACCTACCTACCTACCTACCTACCTACCTACCTACATGCCTACCTACCTACCTACTTACGTTCCTAGATTTGGGGCCGCTGTAGGGGTGCAGGTTGCTTACGTTCCTAGATTTGGGCCAACCCTCCCCTTACCTACCTACCTATACACCTATACTACCTCTACCTTTACCTACCTACCATACCTATCTACCTACTTGCCTACCTGCCTACCTATCGACCTACCTACCTACCTACCTACCTACCTACCTACCTACCTACCTACCTACCTACCTACCTACCGACCTACTACCCACCTACCTACCTAAATTTTTATAGGCTCTCAGGCTCTAACGTTCAGGGTGTAGAGTTCAGGATTTGCGTTTCCTGAATCAGTGTGTCTGTCCCACTGCACACATGTAAACGTGAACATTATGAGAACTTGTGCTATCTACCCGCGGCGACATGCAAGGCGAGGCACACTGATTCCACGGTGCCTCAGTACCTGCCTTAGCCAGGTGAAGCGTGGGTGGAGGTGGAGCAGCGTGGAGGCCGGTTGTTCAATCACCGGAACGATCTCTAAAGCGACCATCAACAGGAGTAGCAGCATTGTCCTGGCTTTAAAAAACCATGGTATCTAGCCTATCCTCTCGCGACTTAGTTGTGGCAAGTTCACCCAATTGCCTTTCGCAACGTAGCCAAACATCAAGCCTCTAAGTTAGCCAATCATCAAGCCTCTAAGTAAACACTGACAAGGTATCCAGAAGATGTCCCTTATCCCTCCCACGATTCCCCAGCATGGCTCGACTGTTACCGGCAACATATATGTCTCATTGATCACAAGTTTCGGGGCTATATATATGTGGTCTGCAGCCTGTATCATTATAACCGGTCCTTGCCACACATTTGTTGGCTTTGTAGACGGATAGGAAGGCTGGATTCCCCAGCGGCGTCAGCTCTGATCGTTCGGTTGACCCACGGCTAGCAGCAACCCAGGTGCTACAAGGGACCCCCAGCACAGCAATAGCTGATCCGACTTTGGCTTGCATAATCTGATGACAATGTAACCTTAGCCGCGCACCAATTATAATAAATGGAACCGCCAATATTCTGCAGAGACAAGAACCTGTTTACGTATAGTATAGTCGTGAATATTATGGTTACAAATTCTATCCTGTACGAATCTACGTAATCCTTTGCAAAGATCTGTACTTACTGCGTTCCAGCGACAGAAACCCAGCATCAGTGTTGATATCCATGCAATTCGCCATTTCAATATTGTCACCATCACAATAGCTCTTGTCTACCGCTGTGCTGGAAAGACCTAGATGCTTGGCAAGTCTTGCAATTCTGGCACTTCCAGCAAAGAACTCCAGGACTTCGTACGGCTTCTCTGTCGTTGGGTCAAGCTCTAGGTGCCCCAAGAGACAGATGATCAGAATGAAGACCTGGGATCATTCAGGAGCTGAGGGTTCTGTACAGGCAGTACATTCCACAGAATAGGCTATCTCAGCCTAGCAACCCGGGGGGCTTTGAGCCAAGCCAATCTCCTGACTGCAAACTCATATTCGGGAGGCATGGTGGCGAACATCGACGACTCCATGGTGGGCCAGGCAGGCAGAAAGTCGATGGCAGAGGCTTGAGTAGCTGTATATACATGTATACTTGAGCTCACAGCCGCGCATGTGTGCCAATTCAACTGCAGCAACTGCCTTCGCTCACAAGCTTCACGTGAACTAAGCAGCTGCTTGCACAGAACAACAAAGGGGCACTTGTGTTGTCTGCCTTATAAGCGAATCAAGCAAAGCGCTCTCCCGGTGTGCGAAATCGGAAGGGCAGGAGACTGGCCTGATCGCCGGCAAAACCATATCGACATTGCTGGGCAAGTCCAGCAGGAAGTCTGCGCGACATCACCTGGCACACAGGCTTGCTTCACACATCGGGAACTCGACAAGGCTGCTAGTGCAATACAGGGAGTCGAGTCTGTGGCAGCGAGCACACAGCAAACATGGTCAAGCAAACTGTCATTGCATGTTTTTGCGCATCGCCAGCTCCCTTACATCAGCTCCGCCCAGCTCTGGGCCAGGTTGGAGGAACAACCCAAGACGTGGATCGACTGCAGTGGGCAGCCAGACAGGACAGGTAGAGTTGCGGGTGTGTGGGCCTCATGCGCAAATGTACAATGTTCGCACATGCGTGTGTGGGTGTGTGTGTGTGTAACACTCAGACATGCCTGTGTATGCATGTATATATATATATACATGTGCATATACGAAACTAGCACTCTCACCTGTTCGTCCGGACTCCCACGGAACCCCTAGACTGCCAAGAGTCTCCCGAATTGTATGTGCACAGTCACATGTGCAAGCTTCGTCCATCACAGCAGCCTGCCTCAGGTGTTTTGTACAACATGGTTATAAAGGCTTGGGAGTGAAACCACGTGGGCACGTCTACACAGCTACGACCTAACAATTTCATAACTCCAGCCAGGCGACTCTGAACCACCTCATGGGTAAGAAAAGTCTCAGCTGATTGCTTCGTTACCTTGTCCAGCTTAAGCGCATCAACGCCCTCGAGGTTCTCGAAGGCAAAGGTCCAAAAAGGGTACTGCAATCGCAGGCAAGATGTAGAATCTTGACATGAACCACACACATATAACGTGTAACACATGTGTGCAAGATATGATGCAACACAGGCCTCGAGGCTACTTGGCGAGCGGACTTTGGGCTTGATAACCATCACGAATGCATCACGAATGCTACACCAGCGCTGGCGGGCAAAAACATCGATCGGTGGCACTCGTCGGCCAGCAAAAGTCGTTCTGGGTTCTGGCTGGGAGGGAGCGACCTCACCCGAATCCGGCTCCTGCTTCGGGGCAGGCTTTGCGCGCTTCTTCGATGGACCACCCGTCATCTTTAAGTTGGGGGCATTCTGTAGCTTGGCTTCGTCCAGCAGCTTTCCTAACTTGTGCCCGGGCTTGTCATCTTCATCGGTCTCCTCGGATGGCCTTTTCCTGGGGGCAGTGGATTTGGCCTTCGCTTTCGCCTTGCCTTTTGCCTCCGCTTTGGGGCGCACAGCCGCCTGGGCTTTTGCTTCGGCTTTTGCCTTGGCTTTCGCCTTCCCTTTGGGAATTTTCGGAGCGGCTGGCTCGGACTGATCAGGCTTGGATTCAGCCTCCACCTCCTTGCTTTGGGCCGTTCCGTTTGCTTTGGGCTGGGCATTTTTTTTAGGCCTTCCAACGGGTCTTCCAGGCTTTCCCTTTGGCTCCTTTTTTTTGGAGCCTGGTGCATCCAATCCTTCCGCCTCATCAGGCACCTTGCCCTTCATATCATCCCTGGCCTGCATCTGCTCCTCGCGTGTCATGGGGTCGTCCATATCAAAGAAAACATCGGCCTCCTCGGGCTGGGGAGCATCATGTTCAGGGGCTGCGGTTGCTTCCTGCTTAGCCTGGTTGGATTGGCTGGGCTTCTTTGTTTCCGTGGACCCTGGGGACTCGGCCTCCTTGATGGGCTGGGGAGCATCATGTTCAGGGGCTGCGCTTGCTGCCTGCTTGGCCTGGTTGGATTGGCTGGGCTTCTTTGTTTCTGTGGACCCTGGGGGCTGGGACTCGGCCTCCTTGATGGGCTGGGGAGCATCATGTTCAGGGGCTGCGCTTGCTTCCTGCTTGGCCTGGTTGGATTGGCTGGGCTTGATTGTTTCTGTGGATGCTGGGGCCTCGGACTCCGTTGACTTTGGGGCCTCAGTCGACACCTCAATCATCCCAGCATCTGGGGTGGTTGGAGCCGCCACACCACAGAAGCTCTTCTCCAAACTCCGAGCGATCGGGGACAAGTCTGCGGGGCAGGTATCTTCCACGCTGACATCAGCCAGCTGCAGCGGTCGGCGAAGACTGTAAAGTGGCCGTGCACAAGAAGCGGTGGCTTTGCGCTTGCCAATTTCTGACCTATAGGCACAACAAACACTATACATGCGTGTGTATGCTCACTGACCACAACACTCATGCACACACAGCAAATCGAAACCGATAGGCAAGTGGCCAAAGATGCCGAAGCCGAACCAAACGAGGATCATCACGGGGCAGATGCCTAAAAGCATCGTCCTCGGGGAAAGGGGCCTCGCTGGCCCCTGCGCTGCCCTTGACAGGAGACACAGGAGAGTCCCCAATCTCAATGCACTGACTCGGCTCACCATTGACAGAACCTGTCTTACACTCCGGCGACTTCAGGCTTAGCTTGTCCTGGAAATCATCTGTCAGACCTGATTTGAGGCAAGGTGATCCCACCACTTCCGCAGGAACAGCACTTACGCATCCTAGCTCCGCAGCCACACGAAGTTCTTCAGACTTGACGTCACCGTAACCGTCATCCAGCAAGGCCTCAGGCAAGGGGGCCTCGGAAGACTGAGTGTCCTCAGCTGCGTCCTCAGCTTCACACGGCTCGCCATCAGCTTGTTCCTCACCCTCCTCACCCTCCTCAGCCTCCTCGCCCTCCTGACCCTCCTCACCCTCAGCTTCGTCCTCGCCAACGGAAGACCGGCTCCTCTTCTTGGGTGGCCAATGAGCACTGATAGTCTCGTAGACGGCCCGTAACTTGACATCCTGGGTAATATGGATAGATATATGCATATGCATGACTGTGTGATGTGACACGCATGCAGCGCATAAAATGCAGTACAAAGTACGCGTCTACGACAGCCATCGTGTCGCCGGATCAAAAGCGTCATGAAGGCCCGGAGAACCGTTGCATCACAGTTCTGTCTGACAACATTCTCCTCCATGCCCAGGTGCTCTCGTAGCTTGCACACCTCGAAAGGACCATGGAATGGAAGCGGTTTCCCACAAGACAGCATCATATGCTGAGCACTCATGTTAGCATGATAAGCTCCGCGCCTGTTCACGAGCATGCGGCACATAAATGGTTTTCGCAGTCTCAAGCTGTGGAACCCACAGATCCACCAGCTTCTGCAAAACAGCTGCATTTGGTGCTACCGTTTTCAGGGAGCAGATCCCAACCGTTTTGACATCAGGCCAGGAGAACAAAGTCCCGCGCTTCAGGATGCATTCCCGGATGGTGGCATCATCCGCCCAAGCCTTCCAAAGCCCATCCAAGGAAAGCCCTTCAGGGGCCTCCTCCTCAGAGTCAGGCTCTGGCTCCTCTTTCTTGGGTGCCATGATGATTGGCCCGCCCACTTCGAAACTAGTCTCGCAAGACAAATGTCTACCGATCACGCAAGCCCAAAGCACCGAGTGTATAGTCAGCGACTGTTCTTGGAAAGACAAAGATGAACTGCGAGAAAACATGCCAGGGCTTCCCCAGCGAACACGAAGATCAAGAGAGCCCTCGAAGCCCCGGAGGCCAGCATTCCCCTGCGCGATGGCATGCTAGATGAAACTAAAAGCAAATTGGTAGCAACTACATTATACAATATGCTCGCATGAAGAAGTACACACGCTCACCCACTCACTCATGAATCCATCACACCTTGAAACAGCATGACTTATCACCGCAGAGACTCAAAACCCAGGGCCTTGTAGACCAGAAGACCACACAGTCTGGAGAAACGATGAGGATGCTTAACCTGCGGGGGTCTTCAAGGGCTCAGATACAGGTGTACACGCATGAGGATTTAATGCAATGCAAGGCAGTGAAGTTTTTGCCCTGTACACACGTGTTGGCTGGCAGCTCCTGTTCTCTATATCCCCTAGACACATAGGAGAGGTCCAGCACCCACACACTCTAGAGAACTCGTCGAACTCACTTTGAGCCAGGACCTTCTTCGCGACGACCTGAAAATCTGCTGCTTCGGGCTTTGGCAGAAAACACCCCTGCAGAAATCTAGATGTGTCAAGATCAACTACTGGGTTTCTTGCGGTGGCCAGTGTACTTCTTGGCCAAGGTAGCTAGATGATGAACCAGTCCTCTTCCACGAAAGTTCTGCAACATTGTCCAAATGGTGTCCTCCGGCAAGACATCCTGTGCGGGCTGGTTCGATGTATCCAAATATAGCGTCGTGTCTTGGTTTACCAAGTTTCAACCTATCGCTTTAGGAGCCCTTATACATAGCCGAAGTAAGTTGGAACCCTAAGATAGTTATAACTGAATAACCGCCCATGCTAGCACATTGCACTTGTTGTACATAGGCGATTCCAAACGGATCGGATATGAGACGAGTGCCTCGGGCGCCTTTGAAAAAAGCATCTCGTGGCACTGGTACCAAAACTTGTCCGGAAAGCATACCAGGCCTGCGTTCAGAACAAAGGATAGGCTGTTCTTTGTTTGGTTTGTATAGCCCACACCTTCTCGTGAGAGTTCTTCCAGCAGCACAGGCCCCACTCTGCTCAACGCCATCTTAGCTGCCCTAGCAGCGGGTCGACCTACACAGGGTTTTGCAAGTTAAACCCCTGAACCTTTCTGTTGCAGCATAATACAGCTGCAGCAGGAGCAGGCAAAACAGGGTCAGTCCTGAGGCACAACCAGACATTCACAGCATGCACAGTTGCACGGCACAGCATTGCACAGCGAGCAGGGAGGGCGCACCGATCAAAGGTGCCCGTACCCAGCCATGGATCCAAACGATCCGCAAGCGAGTGTTCGAGTCGAAATTTGGTTTTGTAATTGCAATCAGCAAGGCTGTCTAAATAAGCTACGCTTACGCTGCAAGCTGCAGATGCCTTGCTCTGGAAGAGCACCATGCTAACTGATCATTTGCAACACCTGATCCAGCGGTTGTAAAGTTTAAGGGGTTTCTGGTGAGTTTAGGGTAGGTTTCGAGCTTGAGGCGTGTGAGCTCTTCAGGTTTTGGTGTTGCGAGATTTAGGGTTTAGGGTTTACGGTTTAGAGTTTATAGGTATATAGGGTTTTGGGTTTAGGGTTTATCTAACTTTGTCGGGCTCCGTATAGTCAGTAGGCGGCGTTTTTGAGGTTTGTTGAGTCAGGTTCTTGACCTGGCTAGCTCTCCAGCATATGTTATCTTAGGATTCTGCTTCGACCGCTGTTGTAGCATAAGGTCTTTCGAAGCTTGAGCAAGCAATACGCACGGAGCTCAGCCATACGGCAGATCTCACTTCTAATCATAACAGTGCAGAAAACACATCAGGATACTTGGAACAGAGCCTTTCCCAACAGCTTCAGAACTATAACAAGCTGTATACACATGCTACAGCAGCACACACAACCCAGCATGAACAACAAAAGCCACGAAACATCAAAACGCCGCAAGGCAAAAAAAACACCGCTGGCAGTGTGCCGGCGCCGAAACACAAAAAGGCAGATTAAAGAGCCGCAAAGGAAGACGCAGGCACGCGCATGGTGCAGCTCTAGATGGGTTCGAACGCTTGAGTAGGTGCCGCTCTTTGGAAAGCCTAAACCCCAATAAAAACCCTACAACTACGGTTTAGGGCTCAGGGTCTAAATGCTAAACCCTAAACCCATAACCCTATAACCCTAAACCCTAAACCCTAGCTTTAGGCCTTTTGACGTGTTCGGGCCCGTGATAACCCTAAACTTGAGTTTGCTACACGGACCCTAGAAAACCCCACCTTTCCAGGGTTCATTGCTATGACACCCTTACGTAAGGCATATTGAGTCCAGGTAAACCAGAATCATAAACCTTACAACCTAAATCCTGGGCCCCGGCTGCTTTTTGCTGCGGATGAGTGGCCTATCCGGTTGAGGGTTAGGATATTAGGGTTTCAGGGTTCAGGGTGTGGGGTTTTATTTAGTACAAACTCTCCCCCGAATTTTGGTTTCAAGGCCGCAGTGAATCCACATGCCAGACACCGCCTTGCATTCTTTGGAATCTGAGGGCATCAAGGGCCTGGGGTGATCAGGGCTCGGGGAGGAGTGCGCCGGGTGTCATATAGAAGCCTGAGTAGCCAACGACTAGTAAAAACTAGTCCTTTCGGTGCTGCTGCAGACTTGTACTACAACTCCCATTATTGAGGCCCCCCATATTATAGGGACTTTCGCTGTTGAAGGGAGGACGACTGCTACATGAGCCTTCATAGCAGTATCAGTCGGTACACCCCGACACCCTATTCCGATCCCCTTCTACGTACACCTTACTATATAGGTAAACCTAATCCCTAAACCCTAACACTTAAACCTTGAACCCTATAAACCCTATAGACACTCAAATTCGCCCGAAGCCTCTAACACAAACGAATCTCTGAAGCCTTTTACACCTTACACCCTACGGTTGATGATATTAATCCTGCAATACCGGAAATATGGATTTACCATAAATCCCATAGCTTAGGGTCCTCAATCTAGTGCAGGATTTTATCATCAACAGTAGTACCTCCAACTATAACTCGAAAGCCTATATACTCCCTAAACCCTAAACCCTAAACCCCCAAACCTCAAAACCCCAAGCCCGAAGAGCCGTAAATCCCACAGCACCCTAACACACTAAGAGCTCTCAACGAGGTTTTCCAAGACTCCCAAGCCCGAAGAGCTGTATATCCTACAGCACCCTAACACACTAAGAGCTCTCAACGAGGTTTTCCAAGACTCCCAGCTGCCATCTCTGATCCTGCATCTCCAACAGATGCTGAAACAAGGAAGTCCAGGCGCGCTCCTGAATGGAAGGTTTAGGGTTTTAGGGTTTTACGGCTTAGGGCTTTAGGGTTGTTAGGGTTTGAGGCTGTAGGGTTTTAGGGTTTAGGGTTTCAGGGTTTTAGGGTTTAGGGTTTCAGGGGTTAGAGTTTGGGGTTCAGGGTTTCGGCTTTAGGGGCTACGAGGGGCTTTGGGATTCCAGTTTGGCCGCGAAGGTGCAGAGCGTAGGGCTATAAATCGGGGCTGCAAGGAGTACGTATGGTTGCGCCCCGGCTGGCACCCCCTTCCCCACCCATTGTGGAATGGTTAGGTGGCTTAGGCCAATTTGTAATGTTCGTGTGGTCATCCCTAACCTAGGTAACCTAAGCCCTACACTTAATCCCTAAACCCTATAAACCCCAAAACCCTAGAGCTTAAACCCTAAACACCCGTTGTTGTGGAACGGCTTGGGCCTTGAGCTTCGGAGTGCCGTGTGGGTGATACCATTAGCGGGGGAAGGGGGGGGGTGTAGAAGGCACAGCGTTTGCATAAATATTAATCTAAGTATGACTATATTAGTTATATAAAACAAGTATATATAGATGTATGTATATCTATATATGTATGAATACGTATATATGTATAAGTGGCGCAAGTCTTTGGTGTTTAGAGCTTCAAGGCTTTAGGGGGTCCACGACCCTACACGCCCGACTTCATACACCTCGGGGGCTCTCCCTGAAGCACTGTCAGAATTTTGAGTTTAGGGTTTAGGGGTTTGGGGTTTATTTTTTTGGAATTCTGGGTTTGAAGTTGAAGTATATTAAGATTTCTCTAGTCTATTGTCAACAGTATAAGTCCCTGCATGGGTAGTTCTCTATTTGGATCCGCTTTTGGGTCCCCCAAAATGTACAGAACCCTTCCAAAAAGGACACTAATTACTACGGGAACAACCCCTATAGAACTCTTATAGAAACCCCATAGAAACCCTTATAGACCCGTTTAAGGAGTCCCAAACAAAGAAGACCCTGATTTAGAGAACTACCCATATTAAGGTTTACCTGCAGCCTGCCTCCTCGAGGCATCTTGCGGCGCTCCTTGCAAGTGCTGCCAAACAAGAGGTGGTGCATCAAAGGCAAGGTTCTTGCAGATCTGCCTGACCCTAAACTTTGGCCCTAAACCCCAAACCCCCAAAACCACAGAACCCTAAACCCCAAAACCCCGAACCCCTAAACCCCTAAACCCTAAACTCCTAAACCCTAAACCCTAAACCCCTCAAGCCCTAAACCCTAAACCCATGATGGACTGTAACTAGTCATCGTGAAGAGCTGTGGTTCTGGAAGGGATTTGAGCTTCAAGCGCTTGTTGGCGAAGCGGCTTTAGAGGACTTCACGGAATCTAGGGCTCTGGGAGTATCGCCGTACATCTTATACCATAATTATAAGAAGGAGCCCCGTTTTCCTGAATAATTGAAACTGTAGCAAGCGGAGCAAGCGACTATATGGACATCAACAAACGTGTGATCACATTGTATCTGGCACTGCCACTGCAGCCGAGCCAGGGGGCTTCACGTTGGAGCTCTTACTCATCCACATCGAGACTTGGTTGCAAGTTCTGCCCATCTGTCTAGGCAAGTACCCATCTGACTCAGCAATCTATTGGCTTGTAGTTTGTCTATGTGTCGAACATCTGCTTACTTGTCTACAGTACCTACCTATGCATACCTACGTATTCATGCATCCATGGATGCATGTATGCATGCATACATAGTAGATATACTATAACCGTCATCTGTAGTCATAGAGGAGCTGAAAGCAAATCCTGCTACTACTTTTCAGGCCTGCCGATTACCGCAAGGCTAAACTTTGGCAGCCGAGGTATCAGAAAGGACTGCATGCGATTGTAAACGGACTCTAAACCCAAGTTTCTTTTTAGGGGTTTAGGGTTTAGGGCTCCCTAAACCCTACACCCCTAAACCCTAAGCCCTAAACCCCTAAATCCTGAACCGTATGATATGTCAACACTCACGAGGATCTCCCAGTACCCTTACGGAGCCCTGGTCGTCCGCTTTACGGGTGGCTACTGTATGTAGGCCGAAGTGGAGGGTAGCTAGGGTTCGAGCTTAGGGTGTAGGGTAGCCCCACTATCATCCAGCAATTCAAGACATGTCTTGAGTTCCCAACTAATCTCTAGAAGCGCTCTTCTAGGCTTTCGAGATATGGAAAAGCACCAAAATCACCCTGGACCCTACCAGGACCCTCCTTGTACCCTCAAATAGGGGTATATGGTCCCAAATTAAGGGTATTTAGGGTCTAATAGAGGGTAGATGGAGGGTTTAGGTAAATCCCGCCCCAAACCCATCTACGACCGCAAAGTTGTTCGGTTTTGTGGGCCTGGCATTAATAACCGCAAGCTTCCGCAAACGCAACGTGCCCGTTTTGGGACACTTGCCACGAATTCATGGTAACCCCCCGGCCTCTCCCGCATCAATTATCGAAGGGCTTTAGGGTTGAGGGTAGGGTTTAGGATTTGGGGTTTCGGGTTAAGCGGTTTTCTGCGGGCTTTAGTGTTTTCAGGGCAGCTGGTCTTGAGGGTGGAGTGTGACTATAGAATTGGTGTAACTATTGATACTTCGTATTGTTCTGATTATCAATCCTGTTGCAAGGTGTGGTTAAAGAGTTGGTAGAACTATTGGTAGAAGCAATTATTTCTCTTCTTATGCAAATGTGTATTAACACCATCATAACCCTGAACCCTAAACCCTCAACCTTAGAAGTCCTAACTTGTGGTTTTCGAGCAGTTGCTCGAAGAGTTGTCTCGGACCGTTCTTGCAGAAAAGGTGTACAGGCCCGCATCGCTAGCCTCGTTGTCTGTGGACCGACCGAGGGTTTAGGGTTTAGGTTTAGGGTTTGGGGTTTAGGTTTAGGGTTTGGGGTTTAGGGTTTAGGGTTTGGGGTTTAGGGTTTAGGGTTTAGGGTTTATAGGGGTTTAGGGTTTAGGGATTAAAGACCACACAA